TCAGCCCGCCAGCCCTCCTTTCCTTTGTGGCGCCATTGCAGGACGCGGTAGTCGCCAAGCAGTACCTGAACGACTTCGAGACGTACAAAAAAACGGCCAGGTGATGTTTGGTGTGATGGCGCTTTTTTCATGATCTTCAGATCCCAGTGATGAGGGAAATGCTGATTATTAGATGGCGGTACGCGAAAATAGCTTCATAAGTACCGAAGCGAGAGCTCCGAATAGTCGCCAGCTACGTCAAAGGGGCTCTAGCTGCACCCCATGGGACCTTTTCGTCATTATGGCCCTGACCGAGGCGCTTGGGTTTAAAGACCCCTGTGGTAATGCTGGGCCGCCAAAATACACACCAAGATGTCAAGAAGGCCCCCGGTGTCCATCGTGTTCATGTCGTTCATGTTGTTGTTGGCTGGATGGCTGGCTGGATGATGCGGAGCGGATGCCTGTGCTGGCGCAGGTACTGGACCGAGGCGTTTGCCAACCCCAAAGCCGACGCGCCGGACGAGAAGGTGGAGCGCATTGTGGAGATGGGCTTTGACCGAGCAGCGGCCATCCAAGCACTACAGCGGGCAGGCGGTGACGAAAATGCGGCATTAGAACAGCTACTGGGTGGTGTGTAGGGTTGACGCCGAAGCCGCGGCGTCGAAATGGCCGCAGCTGTAGCGCGGTGTCGGCTAGTATGGCGCGGGGCCACTAACCGCCGGGAACGGTTCAGGACTAACCAAACGACCAACGAAGCCACGTGTGCGGTAGTCGGCCAATGTGGCCGCCGCGGCGCGTTGTAAGATGGAGGTGGGAAAAGCGGGCAGCTGGCGAAGAGCAGATGTGTGTGGGAGGCAGCGTGAAGCTTCCTAGGGCTTTCCACCGTTCCGAACCGCTTACCACTTACGGCTGGTGGGTGGCGTTGCGACTTGGATTGGCTTACTTGCGCCATGCCACGTAATGCTTCGATACGCCACGGCTGAGATGCTGCGGTCATTGGAGAAGAGGGGTGCTTTGGTGGTGAGGCGAAGGCGGAGATGGTGATTTGCTTAAAGATACACACATGGCAGCTGCAGCTGGGAGGTCAGCTGGACGACGGAACAGGGTACCGCGCCTAAAGTTGTTTGGAATATCCCAAACACCGTATTCTATTGACAAAGACGATATATGATGTGGGGGAATTTATGGGAAACCTGGCTAGTTAGTTTGTATGTGTTTGCGTATGTGTGTTGTCAGCTAGTGTGAGAGATTTCCAACGAGCCAGGACGCAGGACTTAACCCACAAGAGCGGCGAAGCAGGAAGGCCGCATGCTAGCATGACGGCGAGCAGCGGCAGCAGCAGCAAGCGGCACCCAGCATGCAGGCAGTTAGATTGCGAGACTTACAATGAAAGGGCGACGCCGCGGTTTGAGTGCGCAGGCTAGTAGGACGACCCGGACATCACGGGCCATCGACGTAGGTAGGCCCATATATTCCATAAATGATTGGCTCGCCGGTTGCCGTTTGATTTCGGTTCCCTGTGGGGCTGTTGCAGAATTTCGTAACGGTGTAGCGCCATGGTTGTCTTCATGGAGCCAGCTAGAGCGCCCTTTGGTAGGCTGTTAGGACTTGGAGAGACGATTCTCAGCGCATTTTGTACTGAGGGAGACATGGCATGTATGCGAGTACGGTACGGGGCAGGTGAACGCATCCCGCCGTTTAGCAACGGAGACTGACGAGTGATATGTCGAATGTGTGCGACTGATGATTGGTCCTCCTTAATCCTTGTGTGCTGTGAGCCTTGTCTGCAACAGGTATAGCGCCTGCAACGGATACCCCTTGGATGCAAGAGGGGTTCTAGGAGGGACGAAGGTCATTGGCGATGATGCTTTTCATGGCCAGGCCAGCATCCATCCGCGTCCTGCGCCAATGTCAGCACGGAGATGTGTGGGGCCGGGTGGCGGTGGTGCTGGACTGATACGTGCGCATGGCCCAAGGGTGGCAGTGTACTGACTGCCGAAGCATCGCAGTGGTATCTCACGTCTTGGAATTGCAGTGGCTTCCAGGGGCTTCGGACGTTGTTCATGGCATATCTTCTCTTTTGGCAGTAAACCTTCGGCCAAGGACTGCCCAAGGACCGGAACGCTGACTCGACTAAACAGGTAAAAGACGAGGAGCGTGTAACGCGGTAGGTGGGGCCACGCGGTCTGGGGCTGTAGTGACTAAGAAGTCTGGTCAGCATGTGGATTCCGATGGCGCCGTATCGATTGAGTGGAGTCCCCGCCAGGCCGCCGTGTGGTGTTGTTGAAGCTGAGGTGTTGTAACAGTTTTAGGACGGTATCAAGAGGCGGAAAGGGTGAAGAGCACGTGGAATGGGAGGTGACAGGGGAATGAGACACACGGCTAATGTTGGTGGACGAGGCGCAAAGGGTGAGGAGTGAAAATTCAGGAATCTGGGTTCACGGGTTGGCTGGGTTCTAGGGTTGCGTGTGAGGTGGTTTTGAACCCCGTTTTGATGTCCAATTGTCGTTCATAACCTAATGGCTTTGGCTTGCAGTGCATGAGGGGGTAATGGTGAATGGGACAAGGGGTGCAAAACTGTTGCGTATCCATGTTTGCACCCATGGATATCTTCGAAAGCCAAGTCCATCGTAAGGGGCTGAATGGCTGGCTCTGCCACCGGGTCCTTTCCCGGCAGTGCTTGGGCCCTCGAACATTTAAGGCCACGACCCGCTGGTGCTGAGGCGAGCCGAATTTGCATCAAAACGTGGTGTCACCGCATGGCGATGCAAATTGAATTCGCGCGTGCGTTAAACTGCTGGGCAGAATCTATGCATCTGGCCTTTTTTCAATCGTACTAGCTTCAATGAAGGAACTCGAAAACTAATCAGTCCCGAATAGTTTTATATAGTGCCTTATGACAAAATGTGACGTCGGAAAGCAAGGAAAATTGAGGAAGATTCAATCGCAAGCCCTAGCGCAAAGATCTAATTCACTTCAGGTCACGCGACCGTGAAAGAGGAAAACACTGGTACTTACACTTTTTTTCGTGCGGCAGCCACAACGCGTATTACAGACCTGCCAGCAGAAGCACCCCATCCATGAAACCTGACTACCGATATCCCAGACACTAAACCGCAAGACCTCCTGGACATCCCCGGTCGCGGCACAAGCAAGGGCCAAGAAAGGGGTCCTCATTACAATAAGAACCCCAAGGAAAATTGAAAAAGCGCACGCTTGGGGTTACCAGTCTGCTGGGGCATGCTCCACACCTAGACATGGTGTACTGTCCTAACCATCATCACCTTGAGAGGTCACCATACGACCAGGGCTCCGTTACCCATGTCAGCTCCATGCCCTCGCCAATCCGCACACAGCACAGCCAATTGAAAGCATTAGACTGCTGTCCCTGCCCCTGGACAAAGTGGGCATACTGGAAAGCTCAAGAGTAACAGCTATCACAGCATGCAGCATTGTAAAAAGGCCGTCGGGCGACAGTGCGCCGTAACCTCTATCGGGGCTGTGACATAGACACAGGCTGGATTCTCCCCGCAAACCAAAGCTCCGTCCCGCAGCAATGCGTCACAACCGGAGGAACGATAACCCCAAAGCAAGCAGGCAGGACCGCTAGTGCTGGCCCTTCGCAACAACGCCGAACAGCTTTGCACGCACGGTTGGCAGGTTGGCCTGGTACGCGATCTTCAAGCGGTCATCCAGCGTATTGCTGCACTTAATGCGTCCATCCGCTGAAGTCAGAACGACGCCACCACAGCTACGTGTTGGGATAGGTGCGGACATTTAAGGCAATATCAAACCGGTTTCAACGGAGGGTAATGGAGGAAGCAATCGCGCACACTCCCTACAACACGAGACGAACATGACCTTTCTATAACCTGCTTTAACGCCGTGCAAAACCTACCCGTTGCAAGAAATGATTGAGACAAGGATTCAAATCGATAGCAGGCTTTTACCAATTTTCCCATGCTGATAGGTGTTCACCCTCCATCGCCCCACTTACCATGACTCGACGTCATCGTCATCCGCGGGCGGCGGCGGGAGAAAGTTCGTCTGGTCCAGAGTAAGAGCGGGGGCCTCCGCACCGAACATGGCGGTGTACGCCTTCCGGGCGGGTTCAAGGACCTCCTTCACAAGCAGCAGGTCCACTTGCCGGCAGGACACAGTGACAGCCTTTTCGTTCAGCTTCTTCATCGCCTATAGGGGAGCACCACGAGCTCCAAGGTGAGGGATGGTTGCATGCCTGGTTGTGGGTTTGGGTTTCAAGGTTCCTAATGCACGCCCACCTGCACGAGGAGGTCCTGCAGGAGCTTCCTGTAAGAGGTGGTGTTCTTACATACGTCACGGAGGCTCAGTTTCGCCTCCGCAATAATCTCCTGCACAGAGGCCTCCTTCGCAGCTAGAACCTTAAGCCGCATCTCGTTGAGCTGCTTGGAGTATTCACTGCAAAATCACATCACGCCAGGTGGACTTCATTTACATAGATAAGAGGATTCAGTGGATATACATGCCAGGCAAGCCTTCACGCTCACATCTTCTTCTTCACCTCGACTTGTCCCTCCTTGCGCTCATACTCCTTCCTAATCTTCGCTTTCTCCTGCTCCAGCAATTGCAGCTTCTCCAGGTTGAACTCCTGCATACAGCAAGCATATGTCCCACAATTTGTTGGCAATTGGTTGACTTGAGTAGTAGCTACTGATCGTCCCCTAAACTCCTCAGCCTAAAAGCGTGTTCCGCTAAAGTATTGAAGATCAATACGCTTGCCTCCTCCGCAGAGAGCTTAATCTCCATGGATTTCTCGTCCGCCTCCTGCTTGATGAACCGCACCATCTGCTCGATTTGGCGCTCGACCTGTGACGCCACGAGGCTTGCATCAGAGCTAGATTCAAGTGCTTTGCACTAAGTATGCAACATCAATTCACCTCCGCCTCGTTCATTTTTGCTGAACCTTTGGTGACGATGGGCTATATTGAGAAAGGGCAGGCTGTGGCCAACAACTAGGCTGGGAGTTTCGCAACGACTATGTCGAAGCGATGTCGCGCAGCAAACTTTTGCATAGATTGTTTGGACACTTACACCTCTCGTCCAGGAAGTCGTACGACAATGCCTGCTTTCCCCCCTAGCCTTCCCTGCCAAGCACAATGCCGCTATCCCATCGTCTTCCACGCACCAAAGTGATCGTCTACTAGCGACTCCAGCAAATATACTTAATTAGAAGGCCGCGCAGCGTTTGCATATATATCTACCACCCGTAGACTACACCAGGCCAACGTCCATGCCTCCAAAATGTTAGCCAACAAGGCACTGGCACATCACCAGAATCACCGTAGCCGCCCGTGCCTGTTGCATGGATCTACCGGCCCGACCGCATCTGGAGTGCAAATCGGTCAAAAGAAACGGTCGTGCTGCCGTGTCGTGGTGCAAAACACGGGCTTTCCCTGTTGTTGATGTTGTTATAGGGTGGTACAGCTTCACCAGTGGCCTCCTTCACGAAGCAATTCCCTGCTCTCCCCTGCTAGAGGGGCACCCTAAGCCATTCACCCCATCCGACTTCAGAGTGTACTCTTTGAGTTTGGCAAATCACCACGAGCATCCAACCAAATCTAGCGGATCATCGACGCCTCAAATTCAGTTCCTGGTCAGCTCGCGAGTTGATTTTATCACATCCTACACCATCCACAAGATGGGAATCAACCTCCCATTTCACCACCTCTCAAATACACGAGAGGTCGGCAGGCGGATTTGAACCCGGGTCGACCGGGAGCAGAAGGCCGGCCTTAACCTCTGTCAGCCGCATGATGTTATCGCTCTCCGCAATCGCTACAACAACGTCCTACAGCAACATTTCGCACCGCAAATCGTACCCCAAACTTCACAGCTTCAATTTCCGCCAAGTTAAGCGCCACTGTTTGGTGGCCGGCCAGAACGCCACTCCATGGATTTCACCCCGCTGAGCCCCCTAACTGTTGAACCCAGGGGGATCCCGCTTAAACTAGCCTGCATCTTCAACCACCGTGCCAAACGGCATCAAAAGTAAATCGCATGGCAGAAGGGCAGGTAAATGGGTGTATTGAGGAGTTTGGGGTTTTGCGTTTGCATTTCCTTGCGCTTACCAGGCGCACTGGAGTGGCCGCCCGATATCCACGAGCTAACCGAGGCAGACCTCATCTCAGGCTCACAATTACAGTGTGGGCATGTGCATACGCATATGCCTATTTGCGGCACTAGTGACCCACATCAAAGGATCGGTCGTAATGAGAAGCTCGAGCTCTGCCCGGAAAGCCCATGCCCCCGATGCTCGAGCTCTGCCCGGAAATCCCATGCTCACTAGCTGCGTGTGTCAGTCCCATCGTCGGTTTCTTAGTACGGCAATCTGCTCTTGGTCTCTTGCGACACTTACGAGATCTTGAAAGGCTGTGTTGATAATTTGTGTTGATACCGCACATATCGCTCTGTGTTGCGTTGGGCTATGAGGTCTATTCATACATCGTCTGTCCTTCGGGATACTCTGTCGCAGAGCATTCGTTCGTCCAGCTCGTCCCATGCGGAGCTGAAGTTTAAAGCTTTTTTTTGCACAGGGGTACTCGAAACTCCCTACATGGAGGGTGCACTCGGAAATCGACAACAGCACCGAAGGTATTGCAGCGCCCCGATCATATCCCGCGCCACGCCAATGTTTACAAACCTCAGATTGAGTCTCACAACCCGCGGCCTCGAGACTGTACAGATTTCGATGACGTCGATAGAGGATACTTGGCATAAGTCTCAAATTCACTCGAGCAGTAAATGTGTCTCACCGTGGCACACACTGTTTTGGGTCATGTAAGCAATGGCAGGTTTGATCTTCGATCTGTCGGTCAGGAGGGGGCCCTAACCGAGCAACCGAACCAACAGGAGGGGGAGCTCCTTGCTTTTGCGGGTACTTGGTTCGTGCAGACGCTCGGGTTTCCTTGGCAGTGAGCAGTCAGCGACATCTGCGTAGCCTATCTGTCCTGACCCACATGAGACAGTGGCATCATTATCGAAAAATGCCATGCAAGTTGCGAATAGTTTTGTTCCCTCTGGATCATGTGACAACGATGCAATCAATCACAGCCGCGCATTCGATGACGGCCGTGCGTTTGGACTTTTAAACCTACTCGCTGATCTGGGTAAAGGGAGGGAGGCGCGGCTGGGAAGGCGCAGGGGCCCGGAGGTCTCGAGCCATGAAACTCAATCACGATCGCGTCACCAGACGCATGTGTTGCTGTCGACACGTCTGCCCACGCCTGCCGCGGAGCTTATGGGCGAATTCTATCCTGGGCTGGCCAGGGTTCGAGTTAGCATATGTCAGCCCGGTGTTGATATGTCTGCTGCTAAGAGGGACTGACTGCTTATCTGGAAGCCCCGGGCAGAAGCCTGACCGTCGGATCCGAAGCTGTGGTCGACGCAAAGACGTTCTGTACTTCCCCAGCGGTTGCGCCGCCCGTTTTGGTTGCCTGTTCAGTCGCACACTCAAGGAAATGAGCACAAGAGTTCCCTATTTGAGTTGGCGGGCTTCAAAAGAGGTGTTAGGTATCGGCCTCGCGTTCGCTCTGTGCGCCTTTTGAAGGTGAACCCCTGTGGTATGATCTGAAACAATGAATCGCAACACCATCGGTTCTGCACAGTATCATTAGCGAAGCTTCTGCAGTTACAGTTAAGCCGGTTGCCGTTGTGCACAAACACAAATCGCTTAACTGTCGAAGCATAGAGCCATCTACAGTTCAGACTATCTGGAGACGTTTAGAATTGTCCATCAGGCACCACACGCACTGCGCATGTACCTTCTTTCCGGATGACCAAGCACGCAGCAAGCCCAGGTCTATCATTGGCTGTACGCTTCCCAGATGCAATAATTTACTTCATACATTCAGACTGCAAACAGTTATAAGACTTGCAATCACTCATCGGTCGCTTTCCTGGGCGTTCCATAAGGTCGGCCTAAGCAGCGCCGTACACGCTTCGACAGTTTTGGGTCATGAGTTTCACTGTTAAAACATGGAAGACACAGTAGCCTGTCCAGTACATAAACTCATGTCGCTGACGGGCTGACTGCTTTTTCCCGTACTCTGCCCGTATTACTCTCTTTTGCCGAGAAGCGGCAAGATAACTTCACCTGCTTTATCTCAAATTTAGGCTCGTTGAGTTACTTGGGTTTTCGTGATCACGTCTTTCTGGGTAAACCTGTGCAAATTTCTCTTGTGGTTACTAGAAATGGCTACAGAAACTGCAGCCCCCTTGAGCCAAACTAGCCAGATTGTGTTGGCAGTGGCAGGTTAGTTAAGCAATGTTCACGCGGCCTGAGTATTTTTGATACGGAGGTCGGATCGGCGCGTGATCTGCAGGCACGAGCGTGGTGCTGTTTTTCGGCTACCTGGTCTACGGGCTTGTCAGCTGCCTTCGTAATGCGGCGCGCCTTTTGACCGCCTCAAGCAACGGCAAAGGCCGGTGCGTCCGGCGTTAGTCACACTTGCACCGTGGGTAAGCGCTCCGCGGTGCGTAAATTTCCACTGCCGGTTTGCAGGAGCAAGTCAACAAAGCAGCAGCAAGCCAAGGCAAAGGGATCGGACACGGACGAGTAAGTTCTTCGATCTATTTCGTTGCGCCAGCGTGTAGTACGTTGAAGGCGCCGCTCTCCCTCACCTGCACGCACCTGCACAGCCGCCTTCCTGCCCGCAACAACCGCTAACAAAGCAACAGCATTATTTCCAGGATCATCGCACCTCAGAAGCATGTGGTCCTGTTTAGCGCTCTCCCTCCCAGCATCCTCCCAGCGCCTCCCCGCCTATCCCAAATACACCTATTTCCTACACCATATGCCTAAGGTCCCACTGCACCTTACATCTTACAAATAAGCTTCACATCATACGTACAGAACCCCGATGCCGCTGTCGGGACAGGTATCCGCTCGTTTTGATGCCCACCGAGCAACTAGACACGTCCGCTGCTCACCGCATGCCCGTTACCTGCCGCCGCGGCCTCTGCGCCGTGCACTGTGCGCACATCACTTCTTCCGCATCTTCACCTTTTCCCAATCTCACATCTCCTCATTTGGCTCAGCAAAAAGGAAGCACATCTTGTAAGTTAGCCACACCTCAGAAGGTCAGAATGACCTTTTTTTCTTTTCTTAGCTGTAAGCTATAAGCTATAAAAAGCGATAAGCTATAAAATTTTCCTTTTCTTAGCTATAAGCTATAAAAATCCCACAAAGAAAAACCTCGGCAAGGATCCGGCGTCCTCCGCATGCAGGCCCCCGGCGGCTGCCCCCTCCAAGGAACGTGGGCCCGACCTGAAGACTCTCATCAAGGCGGAAAAGAATGCCTCCAAGAAGAAGGGGTGAGTGAGCGATCCCCTGGGTTAAGGGTTAGGGGGTAGGGAGCTTTGCGGGAAGCTTTGGGTGTTGGGAAGGCGGTCCTCCCTGGGAAGCCCCGGTGGGAAGGGGGGAGGGGGGAGGGGAGGGAATCCCCGGATGTGCGAGAAAGTGGGAAGTGAACTGCCGGAAGGCGTTTAAAGTTCGAAACTGCCTTATGAGTCCTAAGTGGTGATGTCATCGACCCGTGGAAGGGGAGGCGAGGGGAGGTGAGGGTTTTAGGGGAGGGGAGGGGAGGGTTTTAGGGGAGGAGAGGGGAGGGGCTAAACGAGTCAGCAGCAGCCAGCAGCTATGCACCAAACCTTGGCGCAGTCAGAGCCAGAGTGTGTACATGGAAATGTGTACATGTATTCGTATGTACACATTTTGATTCTTACATACATCATCCTAACCTGCCCATGCATAGTACCGCTGCTGCTGCTGGTTCACTGAAGTACTGGTGGGGTGACTTCCCTTGCTTCGCACGACCCATGTGGCGGCATCTCTGGTGGGGTGCCAGATACTCAGATAGGCAGACAGACAGACAGACAGACAGACAGACAGACAGACATGATCAAAGGACTTCAGGAAACAGAGTCGATTAGCACCCGATGGCGACACCCACCTGGGTGGTTCGCGGTGCCGTACAGCCGTACGGTGATGCTAGGCCCCCGCGACAGCTCCCCTTGCCCTCCCTCCTCCTTTCTTACTCTTACGCTTACCAATCTAAAATGTCTCTGGTAGTTGGTGTTCAGACCCAGATTGCCAACCCTTTAACGTTATCATGCTCATTGTTTCCTCTTCCCTTCCCTTCCTTCCCGTACTGCCGTACATTCCAACCCAGTACGACGAAGGAGGACCTGATGGCCACACACGAGCTGTGGGTCAACACACTCAAGGTGAGAGGAGGGGCAAGAACACACACAGCATGGTTGACACCAGCGTGTTTCTCCACTGGCGGCGGTCCACCACCTGCCACCTGCAACCCGCCGCCGCCCCACCCCGCCGACAGTTCATTTCTGATTTCCGTGCCTGCGGGTGGGCGTTTGCCTGGTCTCTTCCAGGATTGCCTGGATTGCGTGTCCTTTAAAAATCCAAGATTGCTACCCGTCCACCCCCCTTTTTTCGTGCTGTGGACGGGTCAGTAGTTCTTGTATTAAACTTTCTCATCTTGTGGTTCACGCAGATTAATAAGAGGTGTAATACACACACACATGGTGCCAACTTACCCCCTTTCCCCTCTTCCCCCCTTATACCCTCTTCCCCTCTTCCCCCCTTATCCCCCCTTCCCCTCTTCCCCCTTTCCCCTCTTCCCCTCTTTCCCTCTTCCCCCCTGCCCTATCTATCGCATGTAGGACCACGCCGATACGGTTCACGGTCTGGCCTGGTCACGGGACGGGCAGTTGCTGGCTACCGCGTGCGAGGACATGACACTGCGAATATTCGACATGTCGGATGTGTCGAGCAAGAACCCCAAGGTGAGTGGATCTGGGGTTTGTATGTCGGTATGTGTGTCTTGGTAAGTAGGCGCGGGTATGGGTATTGCATTGGTAGAAAACATAACCTTCGTCTCTCTCTAATATCTATATGCGTTATGTGTGTTTAGGTGACCTTATTTGTGTACGGTGTACGTAATGTGTATGTCTGTACTAATGTGGTATTTCTTGTACGTGTAGTTTGGTTGGGCGGTACATTCCTGCCGCGACTACGGCTATTGCCTGAATCGGTTCATGCTTAGGTGGGCGGGCAGGTCCCCCACACCACCAGGAAGTCATCGGCATGCATGTAACGCCAACCTAAACCCCACCCAAACCCCACCCAAACCCCACCTAAACCCGAGACATGAACTTCTGGCCTCCTCCCTCTCCCCCCGCCTCTCTCCCCAACAACTGATCCCTTGCGTCTTCTAAATAGTCCCCCACCCCCTCCCCCCTCCCCCCCTTAACCTTTAGTTTAAGCGGGTGCGCACCGCCCGGATCCCCCTGGGTGTTGGTTTCGGAGACTCCCCCGATGCGGTGGCCGCCACACTGAGGGGCACTCCGGACGCCCTGGTGGCGCTCTACCAGCCCATGGTGAAGCAGCCCGGGGAGGCGCCCACCTACGACGCCAAGTGGACGGTGAGCAGTGATAAGGGGGGCCGACTGTGAAGGATGGAACGACAGGGCGCGGCGAGGGAGGGAAGCATTTCCCTTTGTGTGGGGGTATGTGGGGGTAAGGCTGGAGACGGGGGGGCGGAAAGAGGTGGTGGGGGGCCCTCGGTGGGGTCGCCGGGAAGGGCAGTTTGCAGCAGTCCGTCCTTACAGGGGGCAGCCCTTGGCCCCCCCTTTGGCACACCGGTGTCACAGTCCCAACAGAAAACAATACTCCCATTTCTTGACACTCCCATTTCTTGACACTCCCATTTCTTGACACTCCCATTTCTTGACACTCCCATTTCTTGACACTCCCATTTCTTGACACTCCCATTTCTTGACACTTCCATTTCTTGACACTTCCATTTCTTGACACTTCCATTTCTTGACACTTTCTCTTGAAATAATTCCTTTCCTCGCAACATGAAATTGGTGCGAGCGATGCACTGCGGTTGGTTTGTATATTTTATGGCATGTGTTGCATGGCTGTTGTACTCTTTCTCCCCGCTGCCGTCTCTCTTGAAAGGAGGTGGGGCCGGGGGCCGTTTCGCATCTTGATATTACCACCGGCCCTTTCTGATCTCATCCCCTTGGCCCCCACCCCTCGCCGTGTCGTCATTTCCCCTCTCCATGCCCCCCCCCCCCAGGTCGGTAATGTGCACGGCAAGGATACGGCGCTTGCAGGTGGTATGGCGTCCGTACCCTCTGACGTGGCCGTGGGCCGGAGGGGTTACATCGTGTCGCTGTCGGCGAAGAAGGAAGGCAAGGTGTACGACATGCAGGTACGGCATTCGATGCGGTGTTTTGGTGCCATGTCGTCCCAAGGATGATGATGATGATGATGATGATGACGACCGTCACTGCCTTTTATTCGGCGGGTGCCACTCAAGCCGCCCGCCCACCCGCCATGAATGACCCCCTCGTGGCTTCTTGCATGTGGCTACCCCACCTCCCAGTGGTTCATCTTATACGCCACCCCCACCCCACCCCCCGAAACCCCACATCTCCAGGGTCGCGAGTTGGCGGTGTTTGAGCCCAACGCCCTGGCCAACCACGACTTGGCGGTGTCCCCGGATGGCCGCTTCATCTCCGCCGCCACCTTCTCCTCGGACGTTAAGATTTGGGAAATGAAGTACACCAGGGAGGGCGAGTTCCGAGGTATGCGTGGATGGCTTGGTTTTGGAGCGGGAGGGTGTGTGGAGGCTTTTTTAAGGGGGTTTGTGTGCGTGTGTGTGCGTGTTTGTGCGTGTTTGTGTGTGTTTGTGCGTGTTTGTGTGTGTTTGTGTGTGTTTGTGTGTGTTTGTGTGTGTTTGTGCGTGTTTGTGTGTGAGTGTGTGTGAGTGTGTGTGTGTGCGTGTGTGTGCGTGTGTGTGCGTGTGTGTGAGTGTGTGAGTGTGTGTGTGCGTGTGTGTGTGAGTGTGTGTGCGTGTGTGTGCGTGTGTGTGCGTGTGTGTGCGTGTGTGTGCGTGTGTGTGCGTGTGCGTGTGTGTGAGTGTGTGTGTGAGTGTGTGTGTGTGTGTGTGTGTGTGTGTGTGTGTGTGAGTGTGTGAGTGTGTGAGTGTGTGAGTGTGTGTGAGTGTGTGTGTGAATAAACCGTGGCGTACTTGATCGCTGCGGGCTTCGGGTTCCTGCGGTTGTCTTTCGCCTTTGACCCCTTTTCCTTATTTTTTAAAAATGGTCGGGGGAGGAAAACGAAGCAGTTTTTGGTTTACAGCATCTTTCTTTTCGTAATCCCGTCGGATTGGTGGTAGTGGGTGGGTTGGATGGAAGGTTTAGGCCACCCTGGAGGCCTCCATATGGATCTGGTACTGTTGCGTTTCTTACCCTCCACATATCACAGTGACATGTCGTACAGCTTACCGCGTGTTGTTCTCCCGGACGTGGGCACCTGTCTTTGTTGACATGCGCACGACAAAAATCCTCCCCCTCTCCTCCCCCTCTCCTCCCCCTCTCCTCTCCTTTATTTCTGTTATGTCCCCTTTCGTTATGCCTCCTTCACTTCTGGCGCATGAGTCTTTTCCCTTGGCATCACCTTCATTCGCTCGTGGTTCGTCTTCCGCTCCCCGCCCCCTCCGCTCCCCTCTCCATCCCCGCTCCCTCCCTCCCCTCCCCCTCCCGTACAGGTCTAATCAAGGCCATGGGCCTCACCGGACACCGCAGTCAGGTGGCGTGTGTGGCGCTGTCCTCGGACAACTGCCGGGCGGCCACCGCCAGTAAGGACGGAATGCTCAAGGTGCGGCCACCGCGTAGTGCAGTGCGTGAGAGGACTAATAAAAGAAGCAGGAGGAAGGGGGAGGAGGAAAGGGGCCTCCTGCCCCGGCAGGGTGTGTGGGTCAAACTCGCTTGCGTGTTGTGTGTGAGTGTGTGTGTGTGTGCCTGTGTGTGTGTGTGTGTGCCTGTGTGTGCCTGTGTGTGTGTGCCTGTGTGTGTGTGTGCCTGTGTGTGTGTGTGTGTGCCTGTGTGTGTGTGTGCCTGTGTGTGTGGGGGGGAGAGTGGCACCAGATCGAACCTGCAGGCAGGGAGGGCCTTTTGGAAGCGTGCATCCCATCTGTATGAGGCTCGTACAGTTTGAATGTTGCAATCATCGTGCTTCAGTTCCCTAACCCTGCGCCGCCACTGCAAGGGGGCCCTTCTGGCTCCTCACCACCTGTCACCGCTTGTCTGCCACTGTGCGACACCCGTTGTTGGGGTGGCTCGGCGTTGTGTCCGGTAATTGTTATGTTGTGTTGCCCAGCAACCCGCAACTGCTGTTCCCCCTGCTGCAACCGCCCGGTAAGTCGCACTGTGTCTCAACCGCCTCAACCGCCCCACGTCCGCCGTATCGCCAGGTCTGGAACATTGACGTGCGTTACGAGCTGAGTGAAGACCCCAAGGTGGTGCTGTCGGTGAGTTGGCTGGCTCCCCACTTGCTGGGCTGGGGGTCGTGCTGTGTACTAACAGCGGCTGGCATGGCTTCTTCGTCATTTGCTTTTGATGTGCTAGTTGCATGTTCGGGTTATCACCTCCTCGCTTTGGGGTTTTTTCCTTCTGGTCGGGGTTCAATAGGATCCTCCGTACCCAAAAGGCGTTTCCCCTCTCCAACGGCCGTGTCTGTGCCCCTGATGTCTGAAGGTACCCATGCCACTGGCCGAAGGTCGGGTATATCAGCACCTTGCATTCGGACCCCCCGGTTCAGATCTGCTGGCGGCGTCGTACGAGGTACGGCAAACTCGTATGGGCGTACGGCTCCGTACTCCGTTCAGGGTTGGGATTCTCCAAGCCGCCCTGGTTCCAACCGTGCCCTCCATCCCCGCAACAATTTGCGCCATCGGCCAGCCTGCGAACCGTAATCGTATAAAGAGGGGAACGGAACATGCCGTACGTGATTGTTCACGTGCGCTGCGTACCCCAAGGTTCCTGGCAGTGGTAGTCGCGTTCACACCTAGCTACCGCAAAGTCACAACTCTCCTCCAGTACTGTTGATTGCGGGTTGTTTCTCTTCCTAATCCCCCGGCATCTCCCGATCCTCGCCCGGGATGTTCTTCCTGGATGCTCTTCGCCCCCACAGGGCACGGTCCACCTCATTAACCTGAAGAATGGGGAGCTGCTGGAGCGCATCCTCGCGCACGAGGCCCACATCACCGCCATCCGCTGGTGCCCTCTGCCACGCAAGATGGCGCCAGAGGCGGGCGGCGCGGTGGCGTTTGTGTTTGCGACCAGCAGTCGGGACAAGCGAGTGCGTGTGTGGCGGGCGCCTAAGTTTTGAGCGCGAAATAGCTCTTGCGGTCCATGTGTTTATTGACTATTGACTTGTGGTGTGTGCTGTTGGCCGCCCCAACCCTGAAGCCGCCGGTTCAAGTGAGCATTTTTGGAAAATGTGCCTGAAATGTGCCCCGCATTTTGTGGCTAAACAGAGACGGCAGGGGGGGCTGGGATGCAGCGGTGGCTGGGATTGCGTTTCACAGTGTGCGCACGCGCGACACTCTGCCTGGACAAGAATACAGAATCGATGAGGTGTGTGTGTTGGGGGGACGTTGGACGTTACAGTTCTGTGCTCTTAATCTAGGGCGGGGTTAAGTCCACAGAACCCCCGAAGAGGGAAAAGCCTTCCTGACCACAAAATCTCTTGCTGCAACAGGAGGCGGGTGGGGAGACCTCCCGGGACTGGAAGGTCGGTACGTGCTGGGTGCGTTACCACATGCAAGACCTGCGAAAAGGAAATGCATGGACTGTACATTTGGGATCGTCTTAGGCCCATGTGCATATGTGGACGGGTGGCGCGCGTCAAAGTACGACATGATGTGGCTCTGGGATGAGTCGGTGGAGGCGTGGAGAGAGAGGTGGTGGTCTGTGCGCAGTAGCGAAGATGTGCACATCTGTGTGCGCACAGGTGGTTTGAGGAACCAAGCCCGCGCGCGCAGGTCTTTTATTGGGGCTGCGAGGGCGTCACGCAGCTTTTCCATCTGTAACGGTTCCCCTGTCACATACACACGGAGGGGTATGTCCACTTGCTGTAGCGCCTTATAGCGTTATACAGAGCTAAATCGCAAAGCGATTAAGACATGACTTGATAAAGACTGATCTACGAACGGTCTACGAATATTTTGGAGTTTATAGTGTTTCCTAATGAAGGAATGAAGGAATGACACCCATTCGGGATTCCTACAGACAGGGTTTGAGCAACCGATGGAGATCTGAAGAGATATCGTACGATAAAGAAGTTGTTGCGGCCTCCTAAGCAACGAGTATTTATACTCGGGACGGAGCCTGGGTTGGATAATCAACAGATAACAGAGCGCTTAAATACACAAGTTTGTATTACTCTTTGCTCAGATAAGAGCCCAGACCTAGGCGGAGCGAATCCGTCCTGTAACCTGTCGGTTCGTACCGATATAACGCGCTAACGTCACATCAACGCGTCACATAATAATGAGATGTAAAGACCACAGCCTTAAGAATGCGAGACGGACGTTTTTCGGGGCTTCCGCCATCTCTCCAACCCCAGAAAACTTTCCCCCGTCGTGCCGCTCCGTAAAGATACATGGACGTCTGCACGCATATACATAATACAAACATGCACACGCGCGAGGTACTTCTGCACAACCTTAGACATAAAGATTGAGCACCACTACCCCGCCACCCTGGTCACCTGGTTACCTACAGCTCCGAGACCACCATGACAGATGGGTGGTATTGGAAAGGTGTTAAATCTCTTACACCACAGTTTATACCTTCATCTTCTCCGCACTCCAACAGTACCACCATGCAGCACCTGCAGCACCACCTGCACCACCCTGTGACTTGTACGCTGTCCTCCTCTGTAGTGGTCCCTCAAGTCCCTTTTCCGAGTGTGGCGACACAAACCGCTTTTCATCAAACTACAGCTTCACAATCACCGACATCGCGCGACCAACGGGCCTTACCAGCGGGGCCAACGGGCCTTACCTTGGAGCCCTTTATACCGCTATCACATCCGCTGCAGCCCCGTCGCAGCATTCCAACCCAATAAACATCACACCTCGCCAAGCTGGTCATCACGCGGATAACACAGTTAGCAAGCGGAACACCAGCCTGATTGCTTAACTAAAAGGGGATACCTAACGGCCGGACGGTTGTGTACCCACCCAACCATCAACTGACGGACAACCACCAACCCACCGTTTAACAACCGCAGGACAACAATGAGAGGTTCAACAAGCCAGGTGAGGAAGTCGCCTTCAGAGGCCCCTTCAGACTCCGTAACCGGTCACCCAATTCAGGGCTCCAGCGAAGAGCTCGGACACCGGTGTGGGTTCCTTACTGCCGCTGCTACTGCCCCCCGGAGCGCCGCTCACACCACCTCTGCTTCCGGCGGACGGTTCAGGGGGCCCCCAGCGCGGGGAGCCACCGACCCCGGAGGTGGCCTCGGGACCCCGTACGGCCTCCGCGACTTCCGGACATAACGGCTGCTGAGCTCTGATGCCGCCTCCAAGGTGATGGTGGTGATGATGGTGGTGGTGGTGCTCATGGGTAACGTTGTTAATACTATTGTAGTTTTGATGATGATGGTGATGATGATAATGATGATGATGAGCAGGAGGAGGAGGAGCAGGAGCAGGAGCAGGATGGCGGTGGTGGCTGTAATTGATGTCACGTGCAGCATCTGGGACCTGCACGTCTCCCGTCACCATCGCTTCCGACCGCCATTCACCGCCATCTTTAATCGCCATGGTGCCACCCATGCCAGCTGCAGAACCTGGGAATGCCGGCGGCGGCGGTGGCGCTGCTGCGGCGGCGGTTGTCGATGTGGCCACCACAGGTGCCAGCACCAGGGCGGGTGAGCCCCCAGGCAGCTGCCAGGTCTCCGGAGGCATTGCATTCCACTCCGAGCGCCACCCTGGCGGTTGGGTCAGTTACGGCGGTTGAGACGGTTTAATTAATCGGTTACATCAGGAGGCTTTGCAATCGCTTTACCAGTCCATTACCGAGCGCAAGGCTGTGGTTAGATGTGAGTTGGGCTCCGAAGGCGTCCCAGAGGGGTGGGACAGCGTACAGCGGCGGAAGCTGCCAAAAACGGTTGCTGGTTGTGAAGGGCCCTTTTCTCCTATCCCTTCACCACCGCCGCCGCCTCCAACACCCCCTTTTCGTGTCTTGTGGGTTGGGGTTCGAAAGGAAACGGGCGGTGCGCCGCTCAGCGCCCGTCGAGCGTCGTCAACGGGACCAGCACCCGCCGGAATCCCAACCCTCGCAGCCCACCCCTCTCATTACCCAAGACCAGGCAGCCTGTGTGTATGATGTGTGAAACAGGGGGGGTATATCTTCGCCCGTGGCAGCTACTCGGCGAAACCCTGCCTTCCCCGGTATTTCGGGGCACCCTCATCCAGTCACCCTAGTCAACTTCTCAGTGGATCGCTCAGGTTCCGCACCCACCACCATCATCCAAAGGAATCTGCCGGGTCGACAGCGGCCCAACTCCATTCCTGGTCGGCTCGCAGGTTAACTTTATCCCAGGTCACCACCGTCCATCAACTAGGGGCGCAATACCTTCCACCATCGGAAGGATTTTTGACCCTAACGGGTATCGATCCCGGGATCTCCCGGGGGCAATGGTCGTGTGTATGTATGTATATGTACGTGTATGTATGTATATCTACGTGTATGTATGTATGTGTATATGTCTACACCTCCCTTACCCGCACATTCCGGGTCGTAGCACTTCTGGCAGTAGCAGCCCCTAAGGAAGTCCAACAAGAAGAAGACGTGGTTGGAGCGGTGCCGGCGGCCGATGCGGTCGCAAAAATGACTGCCGGGGCCTGGGGGTTGGGGTGTTGCTGGGTGTTGAGGGGTGTTTTAAACTGGGGAGGGTAAAGAGTGAAGATGGGTGATGATGATGAAACCATGCATGAAAAACACAGCGAGGGGAGGGCAAGTGCAAGCGCGTGTCTGGGTTTTTATCTTGGCGGGGGCTAAGGGACGGTTGCGGATGGGTTGGTTGGGGCTTAGTTGAAAACCGGCACCCTCCGGCTCCGGCTCCGGCTCCGCATCATCTGGCTCCCCCTCCGCTGCAACAAACCCGAGGGGGGGTGAGAGACAGAAGCCGGCATCGGGCGCCACTGCAAGTACACAGCCCCACGTGCCGTACCTATCATGCCGTACGTCACGGATGCGCCCTCTCCACAGTATGCCATGCTGCGAACCTGATCCGAGGGGGACCCCGCGGGGGGTTGCGCGCCGCCGAGGAGAAACAGGGGGAGGAGGGAGGAGGGGAGGGAGTAGAAGAAATCATCATATGGTGCAAAAAACCCTAAGTATTCAAATCACATGGGACATGTAGGGGAAGGGGCGGGCCCGCCAACACAACAACGCATGGGGATGAAGGGCTTTAGGGCTTTTTAGGATTAGGGGAAGAATCGAGAGAGGCACTTTCCCGATGGGGTGTTTTTCGACGGAGCAGTGTCGGCATCGGGCAACTCGCCCACGCGTTGAATTGTCGAAAGATGGCCAGATCTCGACAAACGACTCGCGGCGTCTCAATGATCCCATTGACGTAAGGGAATCACCACGGACTCCGAGACTCACTTCCTAGGCTATCAATACATCGCAACACCTCTTGGGGACGATGGTGCTGCAAAACGCGACCGCCTTTTTTTCGGGCATTTCCCCCCAACGAACCCCCACCCCGCTTCCACCCCCCACCCCCACGAGGAGCTCCTCTCTCACCACCCTTTCCTTTCCCCTCCGTACACCCTTTCCCCCCCCCCTTCTCTAACCATCCCCCCTTCCCCCCCTTCCCTCCGTTCCCCCCTCCATGCCGTACAACCCCTGCTCGTACCCCTCAATCCCCCAGGTGCGCGAACCACCCCACCTGCGCCTCCGCCCCACTCCCCCGGTCGGTAGCCATTGCCTCCACGAACGACACCGCCCCCGCAGCGAGGCGCTGAAGAGCCGTACACCCCGGCGGGAACCCGGAACTGGAATCGGAACTGGAATTGGAACTGGAACTGGCAGCACCGGCGGCCGCCGCCGCCGCCGCACCACCACCACCACCGTATACCTGAAACGGCTGCGGCTGCGGCAGCAGCGGCTGCGGCAGCAGCGGCTCCGCCGCCGCCGCCGCCGCCACCTCACGCAAATCTGGCGGTTCTGCCGCCCACGCCACCCTAATTGTACGACAGGTGCCGCTAGGCAACACCATGCTTATGCAGCCATCGTACACACTAAGGGTTACCTGGCCAGGCCTGGGGCGAGGGATACCATAACCCCGGGAACCGCCGCCGCCGCCGCCGCCGCCCTCGACGAAGCGTTGGTGGTTGTGGTGGTGGTACTGATGGTGCATGTGAATGCCGCGGAGAAGCTGCATGGGTGAGAGCAGCAGCAGGGGGGGACAGACAGCAGTACTCGCAGCAATACTGCCAGTATTAAACCTCGCCCACACGGCGCCAACCATCACGGCATGGTGTAGTACACAATGCCGTACACTTGTTCACATTTTCAGACTTAGGGTACGGCAAAGGCGTTATGATGGAATCCCCGCTCCTCCCTCCTACCTGCACTCCCGCCAGAAAGCCAGGCGGCACCTCCAGTAGGCCGGCCCCAGGATGCACGTTGCAGATAAGGGAGGCTAGGAACAGCTGCTGAGAGGTGAGAGGGGGAGGAGGTGGAGAGGGAGGGAGCGGGGAAGGGACATCACATCCCATCGCCGCGCTGGCCGCACTCGCCCCCATCCCGGACTCTGGCGGGCCTGTAGAAGCAGTAGCAGCTCCGGCCGTGGCCTGCGGGTGCCGTGGCTGTAGTTGCGGTTTCATCATGATGAAGCGACCCGTGGGTCGCAGCACTGCTTCCTTCCCCCCTTTGGAGCACCAAATCATTCGGAAGTGGCGGCCCCGGGAGTACACCGCGGGGTCCACGATGCAGGCGGTGGCGCCCCCGGGGCCTTCACCGGCCTGGGGCGCGTAAAAGGATGTAAGGGCGCGGGGGCGGTTGTGGTTGTGGTCGTGGAGGGGAATGCCTTGGAGGGTGCAGTGCGGAGAGGACCTGGGGCACCTGATGGGTGAACACGGAATGGGTCCCGGAGGGGCCCGGGAGGGAACTACACCCTCCCCGGAGGGGGGTAGGGGGAAGGAGGGGGGGAGGAGGGGAAGGAGAGGGGGAGGAGGGGAAGGAGGAGGGGAGGAGGGGAAGGAGGAGGGGAGGAGGGGAAGGAGGAGGGGAGGAGGGGGGGAAAGACGAACCACGAACGAGTGAAGCTGCTGCCAGGGCAAGAGTGTACCAGACGTAGAGCTGACCAAAAGGCGTCCGTGGGGTAGGGGGGAAGGGTTGGGGTTAGGTTAGGATACCACGGGCAATTTTTCACTCTCAACCGTCAACCGCCAATGGACCAACACGCTGCGGTGTGTTAACGAACAATAACTGAACAACCATACCAGAAGCCGCACAGCTACACACACATTCATGCACCCCGTCCCCTGGGCCCCCCATTCAACTCGTGGTGGAGGGGGGTAATATTCGTTCTTGCGATAAAGCTCTTATTATTATTCGTGACTGGATGACTATTTTATAGCATTTGTTCATATGGTGGTCCTATGGCTTAATGGATAAAGCGCCGGTCTACGGAACCGGAGATTCCAGGTTCGATCCCTGGTAGGATCGATTATCACAGAAGTAATGTCTTTTACATAGGAAAACGTTGCGAGCTGACCAGGAATCGAGATTGATCATCTGGCAGATTCCGTTAGACGCTGGTGGTGGGTGCGGAACCTGAGCGATCCACTGAGAAGTGGGCTAGGGTGACTGGATGAGGGTGCCCCGAAATACCGGGGAAGGCAGGGTTTCGCCGGGTAGCGTATGCCCCCCCCCTGTTCCACAAATTATACATTCTTTCGTCAAGTCCGGCATGGACTCACCTTGAGAAGGAACAGCCCATCAGCTTGAAGCACCGGTCTGCGGGTTGGGTTGGGTTGGGGTTTTAGGGTTTTAGGGTTTTAGGGTGGCGGAGAACAGCGGTGAATGGGATGGGTGGGTGCTGATGACGTCGCCACATGTAAATGACATGCAGCGGCCATGGGGTGAAGTTGTGATGGAAGTTGGAAGGTGGTTAATTAGTAGTTGGATGGCGGCTCGATGGTAGTTGGAAGGTAGTTATTACGGGGCCATTTCCCCTCACCCCCTCCACCCAGCCCACCTCAGTCGGGCCTCTATAGCTCCTGCCACGCCATTATGTGCCAGCGCCACGTCGGGCAGCCGTACAATTAGGTGGCGGGAAAACTTGTCGACCAGAACAGCCGCGGGGGCTGCGGAAGGTGAGGGTGAGGACGAGGACGAGGGTGAGGAGGACGGATGCACAGGATGAGAAAGTGCACGGGCACAGGAAACAGCAGCCGCGGCGGCGGCGGCGGCGGCGGCGGCGGCAGCGGTGCTAGTCGCCATTGCCATTGCCGTTGCTTCTGCTGCTGTCCTGGTACTGTTAGAGGCGGTGTTGTCTGGCGACGTGTCAACAGCACCAGCAGCAGCAGCAGCAGGTGCAGGTGCAGGTGCGGTGGCTCTGTGTTGTCGTTGTCGTCTGTTGAGCACTTCTGCCTCCGTCACTGACTCCAGCTCTAGGACGTGGCGGGCGGGACACAGCTGGACACCCCACGTGGACCTGGACGAGCGAGTGGTTGGGGTGGTTGCGGTGGTTGGGGTGGTTGGGGTGGTTGCGGTGGGGGAAGGAGAGAGGGCGTAGGAAATGGTGTTCCGGGTGCCGGACTCCGGGGGGCACTCGGCGGCGGTCGGCGGGGGAAACACTTCCGCTGCTTCTTGGGACCATCGACGACTTTGTTTTGCATACTTGCAACACAATCACATTCCCCCCTTTGTTACTGCAAAACACCGCACCCCCCCTCGACCCCAATTAGATTACCACCCCTTCCCTCGCCTTAATAAAGAAATCCTTCCCTCCCCACCCGCCACATACAGACGTACATACACGAAACCATACACGTACGGGTAAAGAGAGGAACATATACCCCCCACCTCAACAGCTCCCCCAGCCTGTCCAGCAGTCCGTCCACCAGCAGGTCCCCCTCCGCTCCGGGGTTAGCGCCCTGACTGAACTCGATGTCAAAGTAGAGGTGGCAGGGCCGGTCGGGCCGGATCAACTAACCAGGGAGTGGGAGTGGGAGTGGGAGTGGGAGTGGGAGGGGAAGAATGGGATGATGCAAGAGGAAACCAAGGGGATCAACTGCCGACGACGTCCAATGTACGGCAAACTGTCGTAGGAGTCACAGCAAAGACGCAACTGCCCGTGGTTCCGTTGCATTGTGTGGAAGACCGCCAAGGGAGGAAGGGGGAAAGTGGGTTAGGCTGTCGTACGTACTATTACCAGCGACCTGTCATCACCCGGGGGGACGGAAGTGTTGGGAGAGGTGGCAACCGGGAGGGGAATCGAAACCCACGAAACCCCACCTCCAACCCCTCCCTCCACGAACCCCACCTCGGCAGTCAGGACACTCACTACCCCCTTAACTACTCCCATCCCCCCCCACACACACAAAATCTCCCCCTACCGCCCTATCCCCGCTCACTCACTCCCAAACCCCCTTTTCCGTACACTTTCCCCATCTCCCAGTTGGAGCCGCCTGGCGCCAGTGAGGGGCTCGTAGAAGAGCCCCTTTCCCCCCCCGCCCACGAACGACATTCACAGATGCCGCCCCACAACAACAACAACACCCCATGCCGTACGCCGTACGACGCTCGTACCTCGTAGAAATGGCGTTGGGTGGCTTGGAGGTTTTGGAAGCGACGCCAGACGCCCTGCGGTTCCGTGTGTGGAGCCCGTGTATTGGGGGGGGGGGCGGGGGGAGCGGGGGGAGTGTGTCTGCGCGTGTGTGTATGTGTCTCTGTATGTGCGTGTGTGTGCCTATGTGTGTATATGTGCATATGTGTGTCTGTATGTCTGTGAGATATACAAGAAACAATAATCAACTGGCGAAGCCCGATGTCGGGGAGGGGGGGACGGGTTTTGAAGTTACAAAAGTCAACAAAAGTCAAAGAAGCAACTTTGAAGGGAGGAAAGGCTGAGAGGCATGGGGAATGGGGCGTAGGAAACGGTAGCGTGCCAGAATGGGTTTATATCTCCCACCCCACCCCACCTCCGCACAACCCCCTCCCCCCGCATCGACCCCCCCTGGAGACTCGCACCCGGTAAGTGGTAGCCACGAAGTGCCGGGAGAAGTCGGAAACTCCGCCACCATTACCGCCGCCGCCGCCACCGCCGCCATGGCCCCGGGGGCCCCCCTTCCGATACTCCCGGGCAAAAACCCGCACAGCCTCTAACGGCCGCCACGGACGGGCGGCTGCGGCAGTGGCAGAGGCGGCGGCAGTGGCAGTAGCGGCGGTGGCTCCGCCGCCACAGCCGCCACCCGCCGGGCTGCCGTCTGCCAACGCGACTGCTGCAGGAATGGCGACGGTGGCGGCGGCTGCGGCGGCTGCCGTACAATCAGCAGCGGCATCGGCAACCCGCGGGGATTTTCTCCGCCTCTGCTCCTCCTCCTCGTCGTCCTCCTCCCCCTCCCCTTGCTTTCCCTTTTTCTCCTTCCCCTCCTCCGCCTCCTCCTTCCCCTCTCCCTCCGTCAACGCATCCCGTGGCTGCCGTACGCTAGGGTTAGTGGCTTCCTGTCCGGTGAGGGGGGAAAGGGGAGAGGGGAAGGGGGGTTGGAGCAGAACCCCTAAGGGGGCACCACACGACGTGTATTGCCGCCCCACCCACCCACCGCCGTCCCCCCCGACGCCAAACCCCCCTCCGGGACTCCCCGGGACCCCCCGATCATTGCGCCCGCCTCTGTTTGGCCTCAACTTAACCCCCCTTACACTCACTCACACTCACACATACACATACACACACACACAACACCCGGCCTCCCGCGGCCCTCCTCCTCTTCCCCTATCCCCGGAGTGTGTCCGTCCATCCATGGCATCAGCATCACTCAGCGTCACTGCGGTTCGTCTTACCCGCTTTCTTTCCCCCCCCCCCCACCCTTCCCGCTCACCCGCGCAAGAAAGGGGCCAGCTGCCGCGGCCCCGTGTGTTTCCGGGTTTTGCTGTGTCGGTTGGAGTGTCGGTTGGAGTGGGGGCACTGCTGGAGTTGGTGGAGTTGGTGGTGTGTTTTTGGCCATCCAAGTGGACAGAAAGCTCCACCGCTCCGCAAAGGAGGCGAAGTTCGTCGTGGCGGCGGCTCGTTGCAGGGCGGTGAGTACGGCCCTGGGTACGGCATTGGCCCAGTCCGCGAACTCCACCGCGTGTCGCTGAAAGGGGAACACCTGGGGCGGTTTTGTTGGTTGGAGGGGGGTGGGGGTGGAGATCGACGGGGGGGATGGGGCCGGGGGGCAGGCGAATTGTATGCAATAAACAATACTTGCATACACAAACATACATACGAACATACATACGTCTGTACACACCTCGTACACGTCGGGAGAGCCATCCCAAAACCCAGGGGAGCACTCCTCCCCCACTAGCACCGACTGCACTGACTGCACTGCTGTGTGTGGTGCTTTTGGAGGTGCTGGGGGTGCTGCTGGGGGTGCTGCTGGGGGTGGTGGCGGCGGCATCCTGGGAGGGTTCGTCACAGCAAGTTGATGCGGCGGCGGCGGCGGCGGCGGCGGCGGCTGTCGTCGTGATTTGCTTGCTACGGGAGACCGTGCCGTACCAGAGCTGTCCGGGAAAAGCTCTGGCGGCGGCAGAGTCAGCGCGGCCGGCGGCGGCGCACGTGCGTTGTTCTGTACGACAGCCGGGTGGCCGTGTGGTAGCGGCGCCGCCGGCGTCGGCTGTTGCTCGGGTGGTGGTAGGTGGTGCGGCGGCTGAGGCCGAGATGGCATCGGCGGCGAGGCCGCGCGGGGTAAGGAATCCGGAAATAGGAAGTCCACAGGTACGGCACCCCGCGGCCATGAGCTGCCGCCGCCGCCGCCACCACCGTCCCCGCCGCTGCAACCCTGTCTTGGCCGCGAGCCGCGCTCCGCACATCCCGAACCTCCCGCCGCCGCCGTTGGGCTCTCTGCCCTCTGCTGCTGCTGCTGTTGCTGCGGCTGTGGTTGTTGTTGTTGGTGCTGCTGCTGCTGACAATAATGACGGTGCTGAAATCCGCCATCCATGTCCTCCCCCTCCGCCGCCGCCGCCGCTACCTCAACCCCTCCAGTGCCGCCGCCTGTCACCTTCCCCGCCACCTCCGCCGCCTCCGCCGGTGCTTCGTCAACGTCCTCGTCTTCATCCTCATCGCCGTACACGCTGTCATCGTAACAAGGCGCCGCCGCCGCCGCCACCCAGGCGGAGGAACCCTGCGTGTGCATCCAGGTATCCTCATCGCCGCCGCCGCCGCGAGTGCCGTACACACAGACGGCATGCACCGCCGCCGTTCCGTGTACGGCACAAGAGCGAGCAGCCCTCGGATGAGGATCTCGTCCATCGGCACTGCTCCTCCCCACCTCCGCCAACATCGCGCCGCCGCCCCCACCGCCGCCTCTGGTGTCAGCGTCGGCGGCCCTTGCACCTGCGACTGGCAAACTGTCCGCCGCCGCTCCCGCCGCCACCGCCGCCGCCGCCGCCGCCAGGCCTCTAGTCACCGGGTCGCGCACTGCCCGCCGTGCCCAGCATCCGACGCGTTCCGCACGTTCGTCCTGAGTGAGATCCAAATCCATCTCAAGCTCTGGATCCGGATCCAACTCCAAATTCGGATCCAAGTTGGAATCCGGTTCTGCATCCTGGCCCAAATCGGTTTCCTGGTCCCCCCTGCAATCCCCCATTGTCCCCACCACCATTTCAGGCCGACGAAACAGGCAAGACATCTCCCCTATCGGCCGCTCGGCCATGCTCTCCGATACAACTGCACCAGCCTCCGCCGCCTCCGCCTCCGCCGCCTCCATATCCTCTTCTCCCGCCGCCGCCGCCGCTGCTGCTGCTACTGCTACTGCTGGCAGTATGGGTGCTGCTACACCCTCTGCCGTCGGTGAGTGTGAAAGCTTTCGCTGCTGTTGTTGCCTTTGCAGCTGTTGCTGTTGTTGCAGCTGTTGTTGCAGCTGCTGCGGGAGCTGCTGCGGGAGCTGCTGCGGGAGCTGCTGCGGGAGCTGCTGCGGGAGCTGCTGCGGGAGCTGCTGCGGGAGCTGCTGCGGGAGCTGCTGCGGGAGCTGCAGCTGCAAAGAGGGTGGTGGTGGCGTGATGGCCATTGGTTCGGGTTCGGATCGCTGATGTGAGCGCGCTGCCGCCAGGGCCGGCGCCGGCGTGATCGCCATTTCGGCCGCCGGCTGCGGGGTCTCACAGACAACCATGACGTCGCCGCCGCAGCGGCTTCCCGCGGGCGGCATGGGCATCGGCACCGGTACGCACATCGACAAGTGCCGTACATGCCGTACATGCAACGGCGGTGTGTAGGCCAGCGGCATGGGGTCTACCCAATCTGCATGGGGCCCGCCGCCGCGCACATAGTTGAAGCCGTCTCCGTCTTTCTCCTGTACGGCATCGGGATCTGGCCCCGATTTGACCAGATGTCGTAATCTGCCCTGCCGTGTCGGCGTGGGGGTGGCCGCAATGGACGTCGTCTGTGCTGATGTATGTACCAACAACGCCGAGGAAGCTGCTGCCTCCGCCGCCGCCATCGCCGGCGACGGCGGCGGCGGCCGCATTGGCGTGACGTCCATGGGGTCTTCTGGAACCGCCGTGACGGCGGCAGCGGCGGCGGCGACGGTGTCGGCGACAACGGCAGTCGATGCTCCGTCAGCCGTCGGCTGTACGGCCTCACAGACCGTCGCTGGATCCAGCAAGGGCCCCGCCGCCGCGCACATAACCATTGTCGCCGTCGCCGCCACCGTCACCGCCGCCGCCGCTGGAGCCCCTCTCCCCCGGATCCGTTGACTTCCCCAAAGGGGGGACGCGGGCTCACCCCCCGACCGGCGGGCCGCTACCCGCAAGCTCTGGTAGGCAGGTTCACCGCCGCCACCGCCGCCGCCGTCATCGGCAACAGCAGCGGCGCTGCGGGTGCCAGCGCAGCAGTAACTGCCTGGGTCGCTGTTGGTGCTCGCTGGCTGCATGCCGCCGCCGCCGCCGTCATCATCATCATCATCGCGCCACCGCTGACGGAACTTAGCGGAAGTTCCCGTGGCTGTGACGCACACATCACATTGAGCTGGATAGGCTTCCAGCGTAGCGCCAGCGGCTGCGGCTGCGGCGCCAGCGCCAGCGGCGGCGGCGGCGGGCGATCTAGGTGCCTGCGCTGCTGTCGCGGCCGCAGCGCCATCACCGAAATCTGTAATCAGTCGGCGGCATGGGTGGACTTCCGCTGCCCGCGCCTGCTGACTTCTCTTTTGAAGCTGGATTGCCGTTTGGCGCTGCGGCTGTTGCCGCCCCTGGACCGTTTGCTGCTGTCCCAGCTGCTGCTGTTGTTGTTTGGGTAGGGGCGATGACTGCGAGTGTAGCTGTAGCTGCGGCTCGCGGAGTGGCAGATCGGATTGCGAAAGATTCGACGACAGGTGTGATGGCTGATCTTGCGGCTGTTGTGGCGGCTCTAATGACAATCGTAAGGTCTGGATTTGAGATCCAGATTGAGATCCAAGTTGAGACAGATGGGATTTAGGTTGGGATTGCGACGGAGGCTCCAGGACAGAGCAAGACTGCGACAACGACGTAGGTTGGGAATGCGGTTGTGGCTGCGGCTGCGGCTGCGGCTGCGCTTGAGACTGTGAAGTTGCAGGCACCCGAACCAGCATCAGTGGAGCCCGCCGGGACACCGGCTGGCAGAAAGTTCTGCCCGCGCTGCTGGCAATGACATCAGCTGCAGCGCTGCTCGATAGTTCTCCTCCTCCTGTTGTTGTGGTGGACAGGTTGATCTCTGCCATGGATGCAACCATGGCCGCGGCTGCGGCCTTTGTTTTGCTGCTGCGAACGGCTTCTGAGTCCCTGCTGCTGCTGCTGCTGCGCGTGCGGTCCTTCCTCTTTTGGGGTTCGCAGCACGGCCTCTGAAGTCCGGTTGTAGTGGCAGCCGTCGTTTTAGCTCGTTCCGTAGAACTTGTCATCCTACGAGTTTGGGCCCAAACGCCGCTTTGCACAAAAGTGCTGAAAGCTGTTGGGCAAAGCTTTCGCTTTTCTATGGCGAAAGCGGCCAACCTTGTTATCCTACGAAAGATAACAAGGTACAGTATTAACCAAGGCTTATCAATAGTAGTAGAGCTGAGTTTCTGCACTGCACCGGTTTAACCGGTGCAGTATTATTCGCAAACTTAGCGAATCATGCATCCCGCAAATGGAACCCCAAAAACATGCTTTGGGGCTTGCTCTTCCCATCTCGGCCCACCAAAGTATGAGGCAGGCAGGATGCGGCCTTGAAAATCAAAGCTTCAATGTTTCGATGGATCAGGTCGTGAATTTGATTCCGGAGACAATCTATTGTTGCTGATAGCAGAACGCACCATACGAAATAACAACATTTGAATCATACGTTTCAAGCCCAAGACTCGATTACAGGTTGTTCTGCCTGGGCATGCGTGTCGCGTGCTGCGAATTTGAATGCTGAGCGAAAAATGCAGAAATGCTGATGCCCTTCCGTAATCTATTTTTACAGTCAAATTCTACTGCACTATCACCAGATCTCATTCTACCTTGTAACAGCAAGGTAGGCGCCAGCTAAGCGTTGCCTCATGAAGGGGACTAGCATACATAAGACTAAGCATACATAATCCGCCTGTCGACTCCTCGGGTGTTCGAGGAGTGTTGAAATGGGAGGTGGCCCCCCATGTTATGGACGGTGTAGGACGTGATGATATCACCTTGCGAGCTGACCAGGAACTAAGTTGAGGCGCCGTTGATCCGTATGGATGCTGGTGGTGAGTTGCTGATCCCCCAACGAATACACTCTGAAGTCGGACGTGTGAACGGATTAGGGTGCCCCTCTCGCAGGGGAGAGCAGGGAACTGCCTCCAAGGGAAAGGGGGCCGCTGGTGAAGCTTAACCAACCTGTAACAACATACATGAGATCTCGTTCTCCCTGACCGTGGCTCCACATCCTTTTCCTGACTGGAACTCTGCCGCCAGGGAGCTCCGCGGGTCACCGCAACCAGCTGGGCTCGATTAACAAATTGATCTCCTTACACCGCCACAGCTCTGGCGAGCCGGGACGAGCAAGGACGAGCGATGGAGCAGCTGCCTCAACAGCCTTCCTCAACCTCCCATAATCCCCCCCCCTCACACATTCTAGAAACCTTATAAGCCCTTAATGAGCCCACACCGTGAGGTTCCATGAGTAAACTCACAGACCCTCCTCCAGGTTGGCCATACCAGTTCCACTCCAGCCGAGAGTGAGCTGCTGGGTTGGCGAGATGTGCGCTACACGGCCATCGACCTGCCTTAGGTCAAAACACCCAAGACCTTCAAGGCATAGGAGGGGCATATGGCGCCCGAGCTCTCACCATTGCGCGATGTGTGTGTGTGTGTGTGTGTTACATGGTCGTGGGTGCGTTCCCCGTACCTGCAAACCGCCCTAATACGATTTAAGGGCTCAAGGGCTGCCAGATCGCCTATAAGCACCATCCTACCTCGCACTTCAAACAAAGCAAGTAATAAAGGATACTAACGACCAAAGGGAACGATAGAGACCATTTACGTTCCAGCATCCTTGCCAGGCGTTCAGGTTCTCACTTCATAGCGTCCTTCATGTGCACGAATCACAACCATAATAAGAGCGCGAACTCTGTTGTATGGGAAATCCATTTCACATCTGATTTTGTCGTACACCGGACAGCCCAGCAAAATGTGTTTTTCATCCTCGATATGGCTATCGGTGCCGCAGCAGGGGCATACTCGCTCCTCTCTAGGTATATAACGCCGTCCCTTACGCGCTCTGTTAGCCGCCAGTGCCCAACAGCAAAGCCTTAACTGCATAAGCTTGCGGTTCGCTGAAAATGGATAAGCATTGTGATATGCGGGAGCACCTCCTTATACTTCGCCATGTGAATTCCTGGTTGCTTGGCGTCTGACGGGTACACGTCTGGCTGGACATCTAGACTCGTATGCTTCCAACCCCTGACCAATCGGTAATTGCACTCTAATACCACACCTTCTGTCAGTGGCCTGTTCATCAGCCACTCCACTCGTTCGTCTACCTCGTGTAGCCCTTGCGGGGCCTCTTTCCACACGTCGTGCCCCAGAAAACATAGAAAACGGAGGAGGAGTGTCCCACATCCGGCCCCTTCAGGGTTGGAGAGGGACTCTGCGACCTCCTATGCGATGTAACGCACACCGTGTTGTAACGCACGCCCCGATGTAACGCACACCGGGGCCAATCCACGCGCTCGCCTGCTGCCGTCGGTCGGTCGGCCCCACGACCCGTGCAACTTTTCCGAATGTGTGCGTATGTTCACAGCGAGCGGGTGAATGTGTACGTGTTTGCATTGCGGGTGGCGCAGCAGGGCGTGCGGATGTGTGGTGCACCGCATGTCGCAATTCGGGGCGCCAGCATTGTTGTTCATCGCGTCTATTTGGAGGGTAAGAAGGGGCATCAAAAGAGAGCGAACAGGCTCAATCCGAACCGTTTTCGCTTTTACATGCTCCGCGAAGTCGCAGAGGCCGTTGATGCCATGCGCTGCAGGAATTGTGAGACCCTCGCAGCCTGGTCGACAACCGCAGTGTCTTCACATGAGATATGGTTGCACGGCAAATAAATAATTTAACCATCATCGCAAAATAAGGGCCATGATTTTGCAGGGACCCGCGTGCCATGCCAGAGGAGTGGTGTAGGAATTGCCCTACATGCAAGCTCTTGCTGCAAAACTTCTTTCATAATGTAGAGTCAAGCGTGTGAATTCAGTCGCCTTGGCAGCGGCGTCTCGACGATTCCGAACGGCATCGACCGGTACGCCGCTGTCCAGAGCTCTCAGCATATGCCGTTTCCATTACACATACCACTCATGCCATGCACTAAATGGTTTACGGCTCCCAGGGATATGTCTCCCGCTGCTCAGTGCCAACATGCACGAGCGCATTTACCGTTTGGAGGACTGAGAAGCATGGCAGAAGAATTCCAGGCTAACGATTTGTTATTGAAGCACCTCCGCATCAGCATACGCGATTAAAAACTGAAACTTTGTTTATGAGTAGCGACACGCTGGCGTTACACCGTCACCTTCCGGGCATCAAAAATAGAAGTCATGAGAGTAACCCAATTGCCTAGGAAGTTCGTCCGTCCAATCCAACGGTATGTACATTAGCTGCGAGCGTTTGCACGTTGATTGAGGCCGTTGTTGGACTGCTAGTAGGGCCTTATGACCCCATATAAAGGATCAATGTGGCTCTTCTATGGCACCTTGAGCACATTGCCCTCCACCGTTGCACTTCATCATTAACTTACTTTTCTCACAATGTCTGCTTCGATGATCCGCAAGGCTGCCACTGCCCGCGTTGCCGCGCCGCGTGTGCAGGTGAGTCGAGGATTGAGCTTAGCAATTGGGCTTGTGTCAGCTACCTATTCAATCCAATTTCAATTGGACATGGTTGTAACGTCGTCTGCAGGCTGTGCGCCCTGTTGTTGTGCGCGGTCGGAGGGTCATCACCTGCGCCGCCGTGGTACGCAAATTGCTGGAGACTTTGCGACGTTACCAAGCTACAGCATTTAGCTGAGTTATACGTCTGAATGCTTGTAGGATAAGGAGAAGGTTCTGGCGGACGTCCGCGTCATCATTGCCGAGCAGCTGGGCACTGAGCTGGAGAAGGTAAGGTTTCGCTGTCTTTTCATGAGCCCTTCTTGCACATGACGATCTCGTTACCTACCTCTGCAGATTCAGGCGGAATCCAAGTTTGTGGACCTGGGCGCTGACTCCCTGGACACGGTATGCTTGTGCGAGCGTTAGAAATGTACTACTTGGACCATTTTCGTTCCTCGCGGTTCGGCTTGAGCTCATATACTGTTCATTCAGGTCGAGATCATGATGGCGCTCGAGGAGAAGTTTGACGTTTCCTTCGAAGAGGAGAGTAAGTAAAAAGCATGCAGCATTGACAACCCTAATGTTAGTGATTGCTTTTTGCCCTGTAATTCTGACACTCTCGTGGAGTTATAATTAGTTGTTTGCTTATTCTCCTCCCTGGATGCCACGCCCTGCCATCTCGCAGACACCGAGAAGATCTCCACTGTCCAGCAAGCCGCGGATATGATTGCCGGGCAGATTGCCTCCAAGTAAATGTCATGTATTGACATTTCATTCTAAAGACCACTTGGCTCAGTTCCCATTGGCGGCGAAGTATTTCCCGTTGATGTACGTCGCCTCCCTGGAGAGCAATAGTGTTACGCGCGTCTCCCTGGGTGCGGTTGCCACCTGCAGTTCCTCCCCCTGAGTCTTAACATGGTCTTTCTCCAGAAGTAGTGGTGGTGGTGTACAATCAGCGTGCACCCGTGTAAGGGCCTTGAGCTGCGCACGAAGAGATTCAATTTTGCCTGTCGTGTCTTGGTGCTTGGTGGATTTCCTAAGCAGATCAAGCAAGGATGCCTCTGCGTCCAAATTTTGACTTGTGCGTGATGAAGCGTGTGTTTTGGAGATTACTCGAGAAGAGTGTATTTAACTACTGTACGTTGCTGGGCTGTGAAAAAAACCAGCGGCGTGTCAGGTCGCATGCCGCGAAATGCGTGTAACGAAATGAACCCGTACCTCGTCAATCCTGGAGTCTCGGCGTGATGATGTACATCGAAACAACGATTCAGCCGCAACAAAAGTCGCTAGTTCGTTCGGTTCCTGCATGCTGACAATTGTCAGGACCATCATCAACGGTTTCCGAGGCACTTGTTATCAAGACATCATAGGACTTCCGCACTGCGCACCTCGAACTCGTCATTTACCAATTTACCATAAAGAACTCTCATTTTACCATAAAGAACCTGATCCTTTCACTATTCCATCGGGCTATTTGCTTATATTTCGCCATTGCCATAAAGCTGCCATAACGCACGCAAGACCCTGCCCGTAGGCGGTGTAGAAGTTGGGCGGACTTCGATTCATCGGCCAGATCTATCTTGATAATAAAATGTGGGATACAAACAATAAAGTATGCAGCTTCATCATTATATCTACAATCGAAGCAATAGATATTTCTTACAATCAGAGGAAGGTAATTGACGAGTAGAGGAACATCAAAATGTGGGAAACAAATTATGATGGCCCAGGAAGAAATCCCGCCTCCAAGAAATCCCGCCTCCGTGGATAACAAGGGAACGCGATGCACCAGGAAATAGAGACACCCGCACGGTCTCATGGAGCTCAGCAACGACCTGAAAACAAAATAAAAATAAGCGCCGAGCTCGCTGCCGAAGAAGAAGGACAATATCACGGACAAGCAAGAAGCGACAGGACCTCCCGCGCAAGGTACAGCAGGGAAATCACCGTCAAAGACCTCAATCCCCATCGTGACCACCAACCCCACTGCCAGCAGGAGAAGGAAACGTGAGAGACGTACACCCTGGAAAGCCGGTCTAATAATTCGCCGGACACAGGCCGTCGGCCGGAAACACTGCTGCTATAGCTATGGGAGCTCTGTCAGCGCTGGCTGCCGCCAAACACTGCTGCAGCAGAAATGAATTTTTATACAACAACAGCAGCAGCAAAAGCAATGGGGCAATAGCAAAAACTGCTACTCTTCTGCCGTACACCGCTTTACTTTTGCCGTACGTCGTTTTGTTTTTTGCTTTTGCATACAAATATATTCATTATATATTTGTTCTGGGTATCTATGTATATACCCAAAATCCCTATGTATGACCAACTTAAGGACATATAATATATTTAAACCCCCAAAACAGGGTTCTTGTATATAGGGTTTAAGCTTTTTTGCGGATATTTAGCACCCCCCCCACCACCATCACCACCACCCGCCGCAGCAGCAGCAAGACGTGGAGGTTGGATTGCATACGTGGATTGGACAGAGACGAACAAACCGATATCACCTCAGTAGGAAGTGGAGGCAGCAGATGCAGGACAAGGACAACCACGATCATCAGGCAAAGTGAAACGTCCCTTGCGGGTCTCAACAAAGACTACGCACGCACATACACACATACACATACAGACGCCTCATACATACATACCAAAGATGTCTCTGTTCTGCCGCCAGCTTTGTACGGTTGCCGGTTGGGCTGTGTCGTGCAGTGAGGTGATGGGGGGGACACACGTACCCACAGAGAAATCCCACGCACCCCCCCCCAGAGCAAGCCAAGACTCTCGTCCACAACTAACAACATAACAACTTCAATAACAAACTGAATGCATTCCTCAGTTTCGCAAATCCTGCGGTCTGTCAGCACAAATCCGATTCGCTGCCATTTTGCGCATAACATGCATGGAGCTTGGAAGCAGGTTTTTTGGAAATATGTAGTAAGCTATTAAGCTATTAAGCTGTAATTGAAAGTGCCACGGCGGTGCTCGGAGCCCTTGAGCGTATATGTGTATCCACTGCCATCCGACAGGTAGGCCACCTTTTGACCTACTGCTCGCCAACAAGAACAGCGAGGATCTGCGAGGAGAGCGGCATCATCCGAATAGCACAGTGCTGCTGCTGCTGTAGTAGTAACACCCCCACCCCCACCCCCACCCCCACCCCCGCCCCCGCCCGCCTCTGCATGAAGCGCACATGGGACCATTGCATCTGACTGACTGCACAGGGTGCACATGTACCCCCCCGGGGGGCACAGATACGCATTACACATTTCAAGGCTAGCACACTGCCGCCTCCTAACCTCTCTCGCTTCTGGCGACGAAGAAGATCTGCGGGGTGACGATTACCTGGGGGGTTCTGGACCGGCGCAGTGTATGTGCGTATGTATGTGTGCGAGCGGGTACGTGTCTAAATCGGGGAGGGGGGGGCTGCTTGTGTTTGTGGTCACCCCTAGGGATTGCTAAAGGTGGTGCGTAAGAGAACAGACTGAGAAGTCCTTAAGGAGAAGAATCCTGAATCCTATGAATGAATTCTATGAATGAATCCTATGAATGAATCCTAAGAAAGGGGAACATAAGATCCATTCGGAACAATATAATAGAACATTCTTACATGCTTCGCTGCTATCTAGCCCTCCCCGCCCCCTTTCTGGCCCCCTCCCTGAAGTAGAGCACAGTACGGCAAACCCCTATCACATTTTGCACATGCACATAGATATGCACATACACATACACACACATGCACACACATGCACATCTCTCCCTGCCGACAGCAACACACAACACAACCTGCGCGCACACACGGACGACACACATACAGGCACACAACAACGCAAGCAGGTCTTCACCTGCGTCATTCAGAATACCAACATCAGTTGTTTACACTAACTACACTTCTTTCTGCTTACTGATAACCCTATGCTACACTATATCCTGAATCGAGGATGCTACTGTACGACGATGAATGACACGACGGGTACGACTGTCGTAGTTCGTACACACACAAACAAGTCACAAGCACAACATTACACAATTTAACCCAAGCATTCCCCCTGCCGTCCACCTGGAAGCTGGTTTCCAGGCCCCCCATATACACACACACACACACAACATCGTCTTCCACTTCCCCTCCCCCCCTTCCCCTCCCCCCCTTCTTTTTCCCCCCCTTCCCCTCCCCTTCTTTTTCCCCCTGCGTCCACTTCTTCTTTTGCATTGTCATCATTCGACCTCTTCTCCCTCACCCCTAATAAACGAATCCACATCATCCCACACGTACTAAGGCCTATTAACATCTCTCCAACATCTCCCCTCAAAGACGAACGAGTACGCGATGTCTCAAGCCTCGCGGTGCACCAAAAACACTATCGTTTGCTGCTGCCGTACCCTTCCTGTCGTACCCTTCCTGTCGTACCCTCCTGATGACTGGCCTGGTGTAATCTTCGATCAAGCTGCCTCTTACGTCGTCTAGTGGTCAGCCCTGGAGAGCTGCCACTGCTGTTGGTGCTACAACTACGAGCTCCCCTGTGTTACCGCCGCTACCACTACAACCACCACAACCACCATCATCATCACCATCATCATCACTAACCGTTGTTGGTTTCGGCGTCCCGGCGGACTGCCGTACACCCGGCCCCATCCTTTCTTTACGGGGCCATGAGTGGGTCTTCCCAGCCATACATACATACATACATACATACATCCTGACACCCCCGGGGTTTGAGGGGTAATGCAGAGTTAGGCGGGAAGAACGAAATCATGCGGTAGGGAAAGCTACATGACGTAATGTGGTGCTGTGTGGTGTTGTGTGTGTGTGGTGGGTGTGTGTGTGTGTGGGGGGGGGGAGTTCTCAATAACCCCAGTTCCAACCCACCGCCGTCTCCATCCCCCCTCCTAACGCCATCCGGCTCCTCAGCCGTATCTCAACCTCGGACGCCACTCAGTTCTTATCTTGGTGCCCAACCAACCCGAACAACCCCAACAGCTCAAACAGACCCACAACCACTTCCACAACGATCAACCAAATCACGATCCACTCCAGTCGTACATTGTGGTAGTTATTCTGGTGGTCTCGGAGCATGTCCAACATCTCCTTCAGAAGGGGGAAGGTGAAGGAGGGTGTTGCGAGGGTACGGAGGTTTAGAGGATATTTGGGGGTTTCAAGTACTTTTTGAGGAATTTTAGGAATTTAAAAAAGGTTTTTGAGTGGAAAAGGGGGGGAAAAAGTTGGGAAGAGGCGGGCTGGGGAGAATGAGGAGATGGTCGTATCTATCCGAGAGAAATGGAGGATGTGGAGAAACATATGCACGTACATAAATACGGCATTAACTACCACCGTTCAACATCAGGTGGGAGAGGCCAACTCAACGTCAAAACAATGCAAAGCGCTGTGCTGGCGGAGTAGAGGCGGAGGAACCGCAAGCTTTCGGAAAATGCTTTCCAAAACACCCCCCAAAAAAAACGGCTTCAAAAAAATGGTAAAGTAGTATTTATCTTACCAGAACCTTTGGGCAAAGGAATGGAGAAGGGGGGGACAGGGCTTGAATTATTTTC